CCCAATCTAATTGTTAACATTTAGCAAAAGTGCTTAGAGCAATATAAGCACGAGAGTGATGATCCTTGATTGATTACTGATCAGTGATGAAATGACCAAGGACGAGTGTGGTTGTCGAATCGATCTCTGCGACGCAAGCTCCACCATTTTTGTTTGGTGGTTTTGAATTCTAGTGTGCCACTTGTAAGTTCTTGGAGTGCCACATGAATGCTGGACTCAATCGACAATTCTACGGACTCGCCTGCGTACTCGCGCATCTGGGCCACTCATAATTCCTTAAATACTCAACGGATCTGTATGAATCTTGGAATGTATTTCAAAATTCATACAGATCCGTTAAGTATTGAAGAAATTATGAGTGGCCCAGTTGCTTAAAAAACATTTATTGGTTTTAATTAAAAAATAATTCGTGTAAAAATCTGTAATAATTCCTGCGGCAGCGTATCGATAATTAATACTCATATTCCAAAATTCATACAGATCCGTTAAGTATTTAAGGAATTATGAGTGGCCCAGTTGCGCGAGTCCGGTGGCGAGTCCGTAGAATTGTCGATCGAGTGAATTCTGGGGTGCCATTCAAGATTTCACTAATCTTGAAAATCATCCATTCATGGAACTGGCTGCCTACTGCATCACTTTTTCTACTTTGGCCTGTCTCCAATGCATTCCTGGAGCGAGAATGTTTTCACAAGTCACCTAGCTATGTGAAAAAAGCAACGAAATAAAATTTCACTAAGGTACTGGAGTCCCTTATTCGGACCAAAAGCTATCTGCTCAGCCGCAACAAGTGATCACACCCGAAATGTTAGATAAAGGCAAAATGCAGGCATGTACGAAAATAAGCGAAAAGAAGATGACCCGTTTCCGTGGCTTGCTCATGTTGAGGGAAGGTGGAGAAGTGCAACACTGTTAACGTGTTCAATTTGGCTAATTATCGTCAAGCTATATTTCGGCGAAGTACATCAGATCTAGCCGAAGTACATAAGATAATTTTTTTCTTTTTATAACCAACATGTCTGACGAATAATTTCATTAAATTTGGAGGTAATAGTCTGTTTTTGAACAATAGAATTTCTGGTATATTTTTGGTATTTTGAGCTAGGCAATCTGGTATTCTCGCCGAGAAAAAAAAACTGGCAACACTGGTTTGAACTTTGAACGGTTGCTCGCTAGCCGCCTTTGGAGAAGGTAGTCGACGCTTCGGCTGCAACTCAACGATCAGGGGCCGGATTATCAAAACATGCTAAGTATACGTAGCCGCTAACGTTTAGCGTAAGTACAGCTAAGTAGACGTGACTCTACTGAGTGTTATTATCGAAACATTTGCGCGGAAAGATAGGTACAAAAAATTGAGCGTACCGTTAAGTCTGCTCGGAGGTGTCGTAAGTGGAGTTCCGCACAGTTACTAGATGTCCCTTCCTGCTGCTGCATCAATGTCGGAGTAGCCGTTCGTGCTTGATTTAGTTTGCAAACTCTATAAAGAACGAAGTGGGTTAATTTCTCTTACTTTTGTGTTTTCGTTGTGTCTCCAGGAGCTCTGAGTCTTGTTTCAATTATGGAGCACGAGCAGAAAAAAAGACGACCAAATTTTACTGAAGAAGAAGTCCTAGTGCTAATAACTGAAGTCTTGAACAGGCAGAACATATTACTTTATAAATTTGATGAAAATGTGACTGCAAAAGTAAAATTATTACAGTGGCAAGCGGTTACGGATAATGTTAATTCTGTAGCCTTAGTGAAAAGAAATGTGACCGAAGTCCGAAAAAAGTTCTTTGACCTTAGAACAAACTTGAAGAAAAAAGTTGCAGCTGACAACAAATACAGTGAAACTACTGGTAAGTCCATTTCATTTGTGCTTCAATGAGTTAATGCTCATTTCCATTGACAAATTTTTTGTTTACCTTGCTTTACTTACATACTTTATTTTTCTAATATCTACTAACCCAGTGAGTAACAATTTCAATTCTAGGCTATACAGTATACGCCACTTTGTAGCTCATCGGTAGTCATACTCATAAGTTAATTATCAAAGTGAGACAATTAGTTTATTATTATTTGAGATATTGCAACTTTGAAATACAATATTTCATATGATTTTATATTTTTATTATGCCACATAATCTTCAATAATGCTCAACAGCTCAAGGCTGTTTTTATTCTTCAAGTATTCATTAAGGTAATTAGGTAAAATGGAACTTAAGGAAGGCAATTCAGATGGAAAGCTCTGCCTGTGTGTTCAGATGGAATTTGAAAGCTCTTTTAAGTCACTCCATAAAAACATAAATTCATATCAGATAGGTAATCAGTTACACCCAGTTTCTCCAAAACCAATATTGCCTGGCTTTGTCTCTGAAAATACTATGGATAGGTATAAGATCATAATATCCATGATTTTTCTACCATATTTGTCCCATGTATATGACATATTATAGATCAAACAAAGAATCCTGCAGAAGTGCAGATGCCACCTCAGAAATTCGGAATGAGTGAAAATTGCTCAAGCTCATTAACAATTTACCTGCGCTCATGGGCATGGCTATTGCCTAATTTTCTGCCTTTAGGTTGATAAGAGATACTAATTTTCACTTATGAATAAAGAAAAAATGTATAAAATTAAGACTAATTTCTTTAGAAAATTTTCATACTGTTTTTTTAATTATTTTCTATCTATTAATTGTGTTTTAACAAAAAATATACAATGTTACAGATAATTTATTCATTAAAATATTTTACCGGCACCATTTTAATGAATCTTTCATTAGAGTTACACATTTGTAAATATATGAAATGTTGAATTGATTTTTCTTAAGTGTTCATGCTTCTTCTTATTTTATTGTCCCAGGTGGAGGGCCTGCAATAACTGTCAAGTATTCTGTTGCTGAAGAGGCCATGCTACCTTTGCTCTCAAAAACAGCTGTGTTTGGTGTGCGGTTTCCTGAAAGTGAATGCAACGTTTCCAATCCTGGTTAGTATTGAATTTCAGTGTAAACTTCTTGACCAAATTCTTTTCACATTATTACCTCTCCCACCTTGTAAATCAAAATTGATGACATAAGTAATTTTTTATCCAGTATGAACATATTTCATTTCTGATTTGATATGTAAAGAAATATTTATTGTTAATTTATAATAATTAGTATATGAATTGAAAATTTTTTATCCAAGACCTCTATGTTATAAATAATTAAATATAGTGATTAGTCTGTGTGACAAATATACTGTGTATAAAAATAACAATTATGAGTTCATTGAGTATCATTTGGATTTAAAACTAGAAAAAAAATTCTTACAAGAATTGTACCATGGGAAAAAGTACTCTGATAATATTGAATTGAATTCCCCAAAAGATTTAAACATGTTTTCTGTTCCAGTTGTACAAGATAGACAGCCCGAGGAAGCGCAAGAACTTTGTCTTGAAATCATGGACTTGGAAAACACTGCATGTGTTCCTCCTGGAACAGTGACAACTCCTGAATACGTCAGACATCTTCATGCTGATTCAGAGCCCTCAGGCATTCATGCCACCACCCCTTACAGAGTCATCAATCCCATACCTAGTACGTCTTCTGGAATCTCCATGCATAAGCAAACATTTATGCCACCAGGGCCCCAAATGCTTCAGACAGCTGCATCTGCCAAGCTTGCCAAGACCATGACGCAAGCTAATGCAAGCACATGGAAGCTAAGACCTGCAAGCGGAAGACATTCTGCTTGTACAGTAATTAGACCATACACTCCTACAGAGACCAGACCTTGCACTCCTACTGAGGATTATTTGTGCACACCTACAGAGCCTGTTACCTACACTCCATCTGAGAGTGAGAATTGTAACCCTACATAGCACAAATCAACTACCACTGCAAGTGTGACCACAAATGCATCTCATGAACAATATACTCGGAAAAGGAAACGTAAAGGTGATGCTCCTAATCACAGTACCTATGGCAAATTATATGCTAACTGTTCAAAGGGACATTTTAACCTCTATCAATGCCTTAGTGGCTAATACCGAACGTATAGCCTCCAATTCTGAAAATATAGCAACATCCCTTTCAAGAATAGCAGTAAACACAATGATGATGACTAATTTTTATGCAGCTTCAGGTAACCTTTAAAACATATCAATTGGCATAGATCAATATATATTTTTGAATTAATTAATATGAAAAGGCGTTTTTTCTAACTCCATTCTTGTAATAAATGAAATCCGTGTCAAAACTGATTGTTAGTTGAGCACTTCTATTAAAATAATAGCTTACATTAAGATCAACCTTTCTTGAAACTTATGGTGTCAATAATTTTTGCAATAACAATATTTACTGCCTTTGCTTTTGGCTAACAATCCAATTACAGGTTAGTTACTCTTATAATATTTGAAAATGTATTTGTCAATGTCTTAAGAGGATGGTATTTATTTAGTCTTAATTACAATTTATTTCAACCTTCTTAGCCAATTTTTCATACTAATTATGTAATTTCCACCTTTTTGCTGCTCTCTGACCACCTTAACTGAATTTTCAAACTAGCTATATCATGTTAATTTTTCACTTTGTACTATTATTACATATATCATGTGCCAAAAGAGGGACTGAGTTATTTTATTCTTAATTGCCTATTTTCTTACTGTTTTCTGCTAATGGAAAACTTCCACTGCCTTGTTGCTGTTGGTAGAGTATGCTATCTTCTAAGTTCGTTCTAGTATAAATTGTGACGTTATGTGCCAAAGAGGAACTTTGATTTTCTTTGCTAGTCTATTTCTATAATATTTCATACAAAGTGAAGACACTTATTGCATTGTTGCTGTTAGGGGTATGCTATCTGTTGAGTTTGTTCTATTAATTGTGTTATTATGTGCTTGAAAGGCACTAATAACTTATGTCTAAAAATTTTTGTCCATAGACATAATTGTCATTTTTGTCATGCCCTTTCTTCAAATTAAAAGAGTTTTACATGGGTCATTTGGACCATATTCAATCAATTAAACATTTCTAATCTGAGCCTTTAATTATAAAAACTATTGAACATTAATATTACCGCGTATTACTATATCTTTCCAATGTTTACACCATATTTGCGAATTATTTAATGCCTTTTTTTCTACATGTAAAAGGAGCAACTGCAATTGATATGCAAAACATTTTCTTTATTTTCTAGAAAGCATTACATACGATTCAATGATTTTGAAAAATTCAGATACAAACGGTTCATCAGCAGTACAGCAGCTGATTCGTCCTGCAAATGTGCTGATAAAGGATTTTAATAAAATATTGACACAATTTTCTTTGCAAATTACCTTACCAGACAAGTGATATGATTGTTGTAATAACCTATTGGAATGTATGCAGCAGAAATAAGTTTTCTCTATAATATTTGTAATAACTTCATGCTATAAACATTTTCCAATCTTAATTACAAATTATATGCCTCAAGTGCCAAAATCTTAATATAAACAGAATTTTTATACCTGCATTAGTGACAGGAGAACAAATGAGCTTCATTGTATAGATTATTATCAAATGCAATTATTAGACTCATTCAAATGAAAAAGGTTAATTCTAGTAGTTTGCACATCATGAACTGTGGATGCATGCTTCAAAAGAAATTATGAACAAGCAAGTCGCGAACTTGTCTGCCAAGAACTCTTTGTGCCCCATCATGACCTCGTTCTTCAGGCTCCATGTAGACTTCGTCCTCTTCATAATCATCAGGATTTGGTATGTTCATAAGAATGCAGCGGTTGTGAAGCAACAAGCAGGCTGCAATAATCTTGGCACATTTGGAAGGCTTGTATTGGAGGTTTCCACCTGAGGGGATAGGAAGCACATTATTGTATGTTTGATGCTGGTAGTATATATATATATATGTACTAGTAAAAATACATTTTTATTTACATGGGCATCTTTCAAAATAATGCTTACAATAACCCCATGCATATTTCTGCAATTGCATAATATAAAAGATCAGAAAGTTTTAAAATTTTCAAATAAAAAATTGAAATTTTCATCAATAATGTTATGATTCCCACCTGATTTATGTAGGCATCGGAACCTCGACTTCAGGACTCCAAAAACTTGTTCGATTATTACTCTAGTTCTTGTGTGGCGTCTGTTGTACTCTTGCTCAGCTGGCAATGCAGGGTTGGCAAATGGTGTCATTAGGAATGGCTCAAGGGGATAACCACTATCTCCTGGAAGTAATAATATAAATCACATTATAGTATGCAAAAAAAAATAGTTTTTAGAATGATTTAAGAATAAATAATTGTTTAAGATATTATTAAATTGAAGTTGGAAATGATAAAAAATTGAACTTACCCAAAAGCAGGCCATCGCCAAATTCTCCACGTTGAAATCTGGCACGTAGCTCACAGTTGCTCCAGATGTACGAATCGTGAGTGCTGCCAGGGTTGCTGACATTAAAGTTGATAATTCTCTTATTAGCATCGCAAACAACTTGTATGTTCATTGAATGAAATTTCTTTCTGTTGACAAATATGGCTTCATCGTCCACAGGTGCTTTGATTGGTATACGGGAACCATCAATGGCTCCGATGACTCTTGGAAAACCACCTAAGGCATGGAAATCCCTCATGGTTTGCTGCCGTTCAATCACACCTGCAGGCATCTTGACTTCATTTAAAGATTTTTCTGCCAGAGCATTTGTCACAGACGTGATTATGTTGCTAACACTTGGTTGAGATAGTCCACTGATGTCACCAACAACATTTTGAAAAGATCCACTTGCCAGAAAGCGAAGGGTAGCCATTATTTGTGTGCAGACCGTTATAGCATGGGATCTCAATGTTTGTCTCTGCAGCAGTGGCTCTAATTCATGAATAATATTAATAATTTCATGACGTGGAAACCTGTATTTGCTAATGAGTTCCTGATCACAAACATGCAACAAATCTAGTTGATCCCTGAACACCCTCTCTCTTCTTAATGCTTGCTGATACTCATGTGCAAACAACAATTCCATGCTTATGATTCAAAATCTGCAAACAAAAAACCAATTCATCAAATAGTTGTTAGCAACTATTGCAAGAACTTGCAAACCTGTGGCTGTGAAAAAACAATAATGAGCAGCAAATGATTGAAATGAAGACTAGCCAGTCCTCATGAGCCATGACATGAACCTATCAAATCAGAATAATTCATAATTGCCTTCTATGGAGTAAAGGAGAAGAAAAAGAAAAATGCATGGCTGATAAAGGCAAAAAATTACATTTCTCTGATTCAAAATTAGGAGACTTTTTACAAATAAAAATTGAGACTGCAAAAGACAGAATTTCAGAAAGAAATCGTAGTAGTATGTAGCAAAAATAAAGGTTGGCTGCTCAAGCTCCATATAATTTTGAATCAAAAAGGCATAAGGATTTGTTTTGGAGTGATCTTGAAACTCTATGATATGACTAACCACATTTTCTTGTAATTTATAACGTGAATTCGTGAAAGGAAAACAAATCACAGCTCCTGCCCCCTGGCATAATCACAAATTTTCACAATTAACATTTGTTTCCCAATGGCACCGCTTGACACGATCACATATTTATATTATACGTCGAATTATTGACAACTTTATCGCAATTCACCGTGTGGCGTGTTGCAAGTAAATTAATAGTGTCACACTGGGGCCAAGTCCCTGCCAACAAAGTGCAATACCGACTTCCACTTCACATATCGAAGGCTTCCGAGGTTCACAGAATGTAAACAAATCCAAAGCCTCTGATTGGTCAGTTAGTTGGATGGTTTCGATAATACCTTTTCAGATGAGTTTGGCGTAAGACAGTTTTGTTAATGCCAAATTTTGACTGACTTACGTAATACGTAACTTTTTGAACGTAAGTACGAAAAGTTACGTGAACTTAGCGAAGTTTCGTTAATCTCTGCCCAGGTGAATATATGTAGCGCTGGTCGTCGGTTGTTAATGATCTCGTAAAACTAATACAATTCGTAGTCTTCAGGATTAAAATACAGCCTCACTGGTACGCTTCACCTTGTAGTGCTAGAGTGCAAGACGCCGGTCGAGTACTGTCTTGGATTGACATCTGGACTGACGAGTGACGACTTATTCAATAGCAATGACAGCGACACCATTACTGCAACATTTTTAGTCACTTCATCACAGTGTTAGAGTGAAGTGACTTGACTTGCAAGTTATTCTGCATTTAGTTAATTGGAAGGAGTCATTAGTTACATTATCATATAAGCCCACTGTACGAAAACGGTGAAGGCTAGCTTGAAAATAGTCCCGCTATTTAGTTTATACTTGAAATAATGACCTCTAAGTATGATCGACTGAGCACTGGATACGGTAGATTACATTTAAGATTTATCACGAAACGGCAAGGCAACCGCGACTGGTGAACAGTAGCTCCTGTCACCTGTTTTAAATAGATGCAGGGCTGACGTGGTTCATCTTGGGTCCTGACAAACGGTTTTAAGAGTTTCTCATTAAATACAAGAAATTGACCGAGAGATCCACGATTAAAACGTTTTGTGCAATTTACTGTAATAATTATTCCGGAAGAAACGGCAGAACTTAACCGAATAATTCAGAAACTCGTGGTGCTTGTTAGCATGGCTGCTCATGCGCCTAAGATTTAGAGAAATTCGCAAACTGCATTTTATCTGGCGGCGGATAAAATGCAGGTTGCGTCACCACCAACCGACATCGGTGAGCGTAGCGATGAAACACGCTCAAAGCAGTGGACAAACGTGGGTAATCAGAGCTGCAATACACCTCCATCCCCTCGTACTGAGTGAAGTCGTGCAGCACGGGCGCTGTAACAGCAGGATCTCCATACAACATAAAGTCCCTGCAAAGTTCCGTCATCATAGACGACTTGAACCAACACTGGCCGTCAGCGCAGCAGTTTTTCCTTAGTACGGAGTAATATTCTATAGACAGAACCCGGCGCCTACAGAATAGCATGGGCATCAGAGGGACCAGACAGAATTCTATTGAAGGTATACAATGTAAGAATTTAATAAGAATGCCACCACAGATGATGCCGTGAGCAAACGACATTTTCCTCAATAATGGCAGCAACTTCCAAGACTAGAGGTATGCTTCATATGTCATGTGTAACAAGCCGGTCAGCATGTAAGGCCGCTCAGTAAATGTTCATCATCCTCTGATGAATATACTCGGCGAAGGGCTAGAGCTTCGATAAGCTCCACCATTCAATATGACCTTTTTTATGTGCTTGTCTGAAAAACGGATACTACACTGCTAATCTAATTTAGCACGGCTATCAACACTTCTGTGCTTTGAGCTGCAACATGAAGAATACATTCTCAACTCCTCGATCCTGCGCACTCAAGCGGCATGTGAAGTGTGATTAGGGCACCTGAACATTGAATGATCTTTGGATGAGCAAAATTTACAAGCATCTACAGTTGCGCATGCATTAAGCTAGACTGTCTTTGACGCGCTTGTTTTGCAAACGGTAGCGGAAAATTCACTTCCTTCGAATTACGCTATGCTTGTCAAAAGAAGTGGGAGCGTTACCTTTGGGGCTGGAGACCACAGAGTCGAAGTTTTACTCCCGTCAACATAGTTTTGTAGACGTCATCATTGATTGGGCAATTCTCTACTTTACGTACCATTTTCTGACGGAAAGGTACAGGCAATTTGTTTGAAGAAACGAAAGATACTCCAGGCAGCTCCGGAGGCGATGCCCGGGGGCTCCCGGGATCTTTCGCACCTAAGGCCCGTTTACACTAGTGGCAACGACATGCGCTTCGAGTCGTTTGCTGCAGTGCCTCACCGCGCACAACCGTTCACACTACTTTTGTACTTGGTAGTTTGAGACCGCGCGCTTTGAACACTAGTTGCCACCTAGACGTCAATGAGGATGGATGTAACCGAATGTGAGCTGTGGGCCATTGTTCTCGGGTGTGCTGCAGTCCGTCATTCTTCGCACTATGCCAGTTGTAAACGAGAATTTAGCATAGGCATCATAATTAGAGAACTAGCACATTCAAAAAGATACAGTTTATAAAAATATAGTCTATTCTTGAATAAAAAGTTCCAATATACGTACCGATATTATATCATCCTTTGAAATCGCTAAACGGTAATTCATAAATTGTCAGGAGTTGCTAAAATCACATAAACTAAACACGTCATGTAAAAATAACTTACATCATTTGCATTTAGATTTTTGTACTCCTATGACCGAACACTCCGTATGCATTCATTTTCTCTATAAAGATCAATTAGGCTCTCTACTAGAGAATGACTCCAACCGAGAGTGATGTTAGTCGACATTTGGTGTGCCGGACCAGCGTACGCAATCAACCTTACTAGACCACAGACAGCTATCTACTAGCTAAGAATTTAAAAGCAAAGAATAGTCCACAAAAATTCATATCTTTATAGAAAACGTTTCGGAGACCAGCTCCATCGTAGACCAGCTTCGTAGAATCTAGAATCACAAATCAGAAGTCACAAATTAAGACATTAAACCGTAGAACGAATTGAATTTCTTTAATTAATTAAGATTTTAAATTTGATTTAAATTTTCAATTTAATTTAAATTCTTAATTAATTTGCGATTTAAGCATACAAGTGATATCAATTCTTTAATAGCTATCTGCTAAGCGCCGCGCTTGTGTTGCATGAGGCATGGCCCCTGTCAATCGCTAGCTCGTCAATCTGTCAAGAAGCGCATGCAGAGGCTGCAAAGCGCCTCTGCATGCTCTTCGAGGCACTTGATTCTGGTGTGTTACCCCTAGTGTGAACGGGCCTTTACAGCCCGACTGCGTCGCCATCACTCCTGGAGTTGCCAGGATGCTCCCGCGACCGTTCGCGGAGCCCTGTGCCGAGATCACACAAGGCCCCCAGCCCCTACAATTTTTTCTGCGAGGAGTATGGGCAAGGTTTTACTAGGGCTCATCACCTTAGAAATCATAAGAATACACACAAAAGTGAAATGGAATAATTCTGCCCAATAGCATATTGCGACTTCGAATGTAACTATCCTCACAAACTCAAGCAGTACATGGAGTCGAAACACGGACATCATTTCCCGTAATTAGGTCTTGGGGTGCCTGAATGTCGTCTTATAGAATGACGACACATTAAAGTATCAGTGTACCATTTTTTTCTTATTTCTAAAGCCACCCTCCCCATCCCCCAGAGACGGACAGTCGCATGCATAGGTTCTCGTACGACCACGTCTTCGGGCCTGAAAGCACTCAGGCAGAAGTGAGTTCTGGTGTTGTTTGGACAACAGCTATGATTTGATACAACTAAATAGATTTAACCAACCATTAGCGTGTCACAGCTGTTGCAGTATCACACGAATTAATGGCTTTTGTAATTAAACCGGTGTCATTCAAGATCTTATCTCACCCATCAGGTCTTCCATGCAGTTGCTGATCTAGTTCAGTGTGCCCTTGACGGCTGTAACGTATGCAGGGTACGCAGCCGTGCACCACAAAATTTGTGCACCAATCAGCCTTGAAAGGAACGCCTAGCATATTTCCGGATGACCACCAATCAGCCGCGGATTAAGCCAACCGTCGGTAACCAGCCCGTGACATCATCTTGCTTTAAATATTAGGAGCTTCACGCCACCATATTCTGAAGCGAATAGCCCAGAAAGTAATGGTTATGCACCACTGAACGTTGCATCGAATCATCACTTCATACCCTGACTTTAGATCGAATTGTAACTTGCGGACAACAGACTGTGACCAACCAGCCCAGGTCGCCAGTGGAACTGTGTGCATCCTGCCGAGCACCACCAGACCGTCACTTTTAGCTCACAGCATTGGGGTTAGGTTTCAGAAAGCATAGTTCTGTTCCAAAATCTATCATCCTTCGACGAGAGACTTCTACAGCTTTGCTAAATTACGTAACTTTTAGCTCACAGCATCTGGGGTTAGGTTCCAGATAGCATAGTTCTGTTCCAAAATTTATCGTCGTACGACGCGTGGCCGTTCGACCGTGGGCTGGTTCGACACACGGGACAGATACGGACGGC